GTGATATGCTGACGACACAACTTTGCTTGCTGAAAGCGAGGATGACTTGAAGCACTTACTGATGAAGACTGAAGAATAGTCTGCAGGATGGATTACATCTCAATATAAAGAAAACAAAAATCCTCACAATTGGACCTATAAGGAGCATTATCATAAATGGAGAAAAGATTGAAATTGTCAAAGACTTCGCATTGCTTGGTTCTACAATCGACGCCAACTGAAGCAGCAGTCAGGACATCAGACGACATATAGCACTGGGCAAATTGGCTGCAAAAGACCTCTTTCAAGTGCTGAGGAGCAAAAATGTCTCCTTGATGACTAAGGTGCACCTGACACAAGCGATAGTATTTTCAATTGCCTTATATGCATATGAGAGCTGGACAATGAATAAGGAAGACTGAAGAAGAGTTGATGCTTTCAAGTTGTGGTGTTGGTGAAGAATGCTGAAAGTGCTGTGGACTGCTAAAAAAACCCCCAAAAAACAAACAAAAATAAAACCCCTAACAGGTCTGTCCTGGAGGAAGTGCAGCCAGAATTCTCTTTGGAACCGAGAACAGCCAGACTTTGTCTCACATACTTTGTTCGTGTTGTCAGAAGGGACCATTCACTGGAGAAGGATGTCATGCTTGGTAAGGTGGAGGGTCGATGAAAGAAGGAAGACCCTCAATGAAATGGATTAACATGGTAGCGGTGATGGGTTCAAGTATAGCAAGGATCACTGAGCTGGCGCAGAACCAGGTGGTGTTTTGTTCTGCTGTACATAGGGTCGCTATGAGTCGGCAATGACTTGATGGCTACTAACAATAACAACAAACCCATGTGTTTTCCTTCTTTCTGGATTTGCTTAGGGTGATTTTTAGTTTTCTCTGTGGTTATCTTGGAGTGAATTCTTGTCTCTATATTTTTGGAACAGTCTGTTCTATGAGGACATTGTCCTGTTTTCCTTTCCATTTGGAAGTGTGTACCTAGAACTTTTATTTCCTCTATTTGTTTAGTGGCTGCTGTTGTGCACAGATTGGCTTCCTTGATTTTTAGTGTATAATGTTTTATGGTCTTATTTTGAGCATCTATTTCTGATCTGGTTTTATGGTTGATGCCATATATCCTGATTTTGTTGTTCTTTGTTGTGGGTTCTCTATTGGAAGGACTTCCTTAAGCATTTCTTGTAGGGTTGGTCTGGTTTTCACAAAATCCCTTAATTTCTGCTTGTCTGAGAATGTTTTGATTTTATCTTCATATTTGATGGACAATTTGGCAGGATATAGGATTCTTGGTTGGAAGTTCTTTTCCTTCAGTGTTTTATATATGTCATCCCATTGCCCTCTTGCCTGCATGTTTTCTGCTGAGTAATCAGAGCTCAGCCTAACTGTTTGATTATTATAAGTAATATTTCTTTTGTCCCAGGCAGCTTGCAAGATTCTTTCTTTGTCTTCGGTTTTGCTGAGTTTGATTATGATATGCCTCGGTGTTTTTCTCTTGGGATCTATCCTGTATGGGGTTCCATGAGCTTCTTGGACAAATATCTTTTCTTCTTTCATGATATGGGGCAAGTTTTCTGTTAGTAGGTCTTCCCCAATTTTCTCAGTGTTTTTTGTTTTTCACTCTTTTTGTTCTGGAATTCCAATGAGGTGTATGTTTTTTCTTCTTATGCCATCCCATATACCACTTAGCTTCTCTTCATTTCTCTTAAATCTTTGTTCTGATTTTTCTTCATACAGGCTGGTGTCAAGGGATTTATCTTCAAGTTGGGAAATGCATTCTTCAGCCAATTTTAGCCTATTCTTTTGTGCTTCCACTGTGTTGTGTAATTCTGTAATTTTGGTATTCATCTTCTGGATTTCTACTTGCTTTTTTGTATGAGTTCTGATTGTGTATTAATCTTGTTATTTTATTCTTGAATGGTTTTCCTGAGTTCTTCCAGGATGCTGTCTGTGTTCACCTTATTTCTGTTTGGGGTTTCATTAAGCTTGTGTAGAGCTCTATAAACATACCTTCTAAATTCCTTCTCAGATAATTCCATTGCCTCCTCTTCCTCCATGTTTAATGAGACTTCTGTTTGGGATTTTACTTCTATTGTCTTATGCTTTTTTTTTTTGTTCATTTGTTTGATTTGAGATTGCTTATTGTTTCCTTTACATTTTGAAGTTGTTTTTAACTGTTAGTTATGTATTGATTTGTTTTGTCTTGGTTTTATGATTTAATGTTTTGAAAAGATAGAGCTTGTGTAGTTTATTTATTTATTTTTTGGTTATTAATTCAGGTGTGCTGGGTTGCTCTGCAGTCTTCTTTGTGGTGATGGAATCACTGTGTGGAATGTGTATGCAGGTCTCTGTTGTGAAGGGAGTTTAGGATCGAGCTGGCAGGTGTTATGGTGACTTAATGTAGTTTTTCTATTAGATGACACAGGGGAGAGGTGGGGAAAAGAGGGGAGAACAACAAAAAAAAAAAACTTCCAAGGCCCCAGGATCTGTTTCCAGAGCTTTGAGTGGGCTGTTAATGATGATGTTATACTGTTACTCACAGGCCCACAGCTCTAGTTCAGCAAAGACTCCAATTGTTAGGGGGCTGACCCTTTCTACCACGTTTAGACAGTTGCAAAAACCTTGCTCTCCAGGCCCTTCCATGCCAAAAAGCTGACCTAGGATAACTGCTCTGATCTTTGACAGGAGTTTGTCCCAGGGCCCACCCACTTTGGGTATAATTCTCCTCTCCACTCCCAATTAAGCAGCACCAGGAGCCAGAGGGGGTCTCTGCCCCCTCCCAGCAGTCCCAAGTTTACCATTAAAAGCAGGTGCTGAAGGTCCATGGAGTGGCCACAGGTCCTCTGGTGGGTTCTCTCCACTGTCCCAGGGAGCCCCCTGATGCCCTGTCTCACCGCCAGTCGGTGCTCTGCAGGGCAGGTTCACCTTTTTTTTTTTTTTCCTTTTTTTCTTTCTGGGTAATTGCACTCCCCCTTTATCCTTTCTAATCCTGCTCCTCTTGAGTTTGGTGTACTCTGACTTAATGAGATTTTTAGAGCACCAAAATCCCCATTTCAAACTGTTGCACCTAGTTTTTTAGGCACTAAGATGCTAGAGGGAACTAACGTGTGTGCTATAGGAGATGCCATTTCCCTCTTGCCAATTATTTCTTTATAAATGTTATGTTAGTTGTTGTCAGGTGCGATCAAGTCAGTTCCAGCTCCTAGAGACCCTATAAACAATAGATCAAAACACTGCCTGCTTCTGCACCATTTTCATGATCATTGTTATGCTTGATCCCATCATTGCAGCCACTGTGTCTATCTATCTTGTTGAAGGTCTTCCCCTTTTTTGCTTATTCTCTACTTTACCTAGCATGATATCCTTTTCCAGGGGCTGGTCCCTTCTGATAACATGACCAAAGTACAAGAGAGGAAGTTTAGCCTTCTTGTTTCTAAGAAGCATTTTGGCTATACTTCTTCCAAGATAAATGTGTTCTTCTAGTAGTTCATGGTATTTTCAGCATTCTTTGCCAATACCACAATTCAAGTGCATCAGTTCTTTGCATTCATATAAGGTGATTGAAAATACTATGACTTGGGTCAGGTACGCCTTAGTCCTCATAAATAGTGGTTACATAATGATTTCAAAAGTTTTACTTTATTGTGAAATTTTATTCTTCATGAGAAATTCCTAGTACACACATTAGCATTCAAGGAGAGAATATTATCTGGGAGTCTTCCTGAAAGATTTTAACTCTATCAAAAAATGTTGCCAGCTATGAGTAATAAAAGTCCTAGTTTCTAGGGTTGTATGTTAATTTAATTGAAACTCTGCCCTTGTCTCTCTCAACTGTATGCTGATATTTAAAAAGAAAATAAGCACCATAAAGCATGACTAATACTATAAATACATGAAAATTCAGTTGCTTCAGCTATGTGAACTGAAGACCTTCTGAATAAACAAAGAAGGGAGAATTGCTATATCTCAATCCACTTAATACAAATAACAAGGCATTTGTTTTTATTTTTGTGTCTTGATTATTTCTGCCTTATAATTCTTCTGTTGCAATATCTTTTCAGGACTTGCTAAACTAAATCACAAGTGTGAGATAACACAGTGAGATGAAAGGTATAGAACTTTGGGCTTTTGGTCACTAAATTCATTTTTCCTCCTACACTGAATCCAACTCATGTCCAGAACCCTGTTGATATTATAACATTTACAAAATACTAGAAGAAAATTTCTTCAGTGTTGCAGTTTACATGGAAAGAAATACAAACAGTAAGCTTCAGAATGGATTGTATAGGATACATGTGGAATCAAACAATTCCACAAAATGAAGATCTAGCTGTGATCATTTTAGAGATAAACATTACATCAGAAAGAAAATCATAGAAAGAAATGTTATCCAAACAAAGGGGCATATACGTAGTCTTAAAAACAGAGAGAGAGAAATGGAATTTAGTTATTCATTAAAATAGTTTTGTTATATCACTGCCAAATTTCTCTTTAAATGATTTAAGCTCTTTCATTTTATTATGTAGTAAAGTATTTCCTAAGCTTTTAGAAACCAAGCAAGGCAATTTCTTTTGTTACCATTTTTTCCTTCACTAGCTAAAGTTTAACATTTCAGGCTCACTTCTGGCCAGTATTAACTCAAAGGAGCAATTCTATGCTTAATTACATTCCTATTCTCTTCCCTTGGTCTAGGACACAATCAAAAGAAATATGCACATTAATTAACAAAAAAAAAAAAAAAAAAGAAAAAAATCCCAGCAATAGAATTATCCATCTGAGTAGCAAACTTAGGTAAGATCTGAGTGTGCCACATAATGTCAGGTTATTTGCATGGGACTTTATTCTGCGTGCCTTCACTTACTAAGGCCTAGCAGGTCACTAAAACATTCCTTTACTGATCAAGACATGTATTTAAAGAAGACAAGTCTTTAAATATGAAATCAGTTTGGTTTAAAACTCAAACAAACTTGTTATTTAGATAAATTAGTACGATTTGAAAGAAGGCACCTTTTAATTTACCTTGGAGAAAGAACTACTAGGAGTTAGAGTGAGCTTGTTGCAGGGCTCCACACAGTGATGACCTGAGAGGAACAACAAAATAATAAGGAGATGAGTCAGTTAAAAACTAAATAAGGACACAAAATAATGAAAGAAAAACCACATTTCTTGTGCATATTATTTTCATTAGCACACTAAAAGAGGTCATATTACTAAGTAATTTAAGACCAAGTAAATTGAATCAAATATTAGAGAAAGGTTTATCCCAAGAAAAAAGCCAATTACTTAAAAAAAAAAAAATAAATTCACATAAAAGCTCAGTTCAGGCTGAATGGTTTAAAGTGTGAGATATGAAAATAAATTATTCCAATCTAGTGGGAAGAGGCATCACAGATGCTGAACTATGGAAGTTTATTCACTTTACTCTTTAAGGGAAGAAAGGCTTTTATCTTGTCATGTGAACGGTCAAATAATAAAGGCTATCAATTTAACACAGGTAAGTAAGTTATGGATACAACCAAAAATACTTTTAATATATATTTAAAGCAAAAGCTAATTTTAGCCATTAGTATACAAATTAAATACATATATTAAAATGAGTAATTATGCTTCCTACACTTCAAAGTCACATATTTAAAAAGAATTTGATTCATTATATTTTCCAGAGATTTAGAAAGATATGAGTTTAAAGATCTTTCTTTGAAAAGGAAGACTGTAACACAGGTAATTGTATTCAAGGACTTCTACCTTCTAAGTAAGAAAAACCTAAAAATAATCAGTACTCTTTGACCTACAGAGACGAAGGCTGAGATGGAAATTTTAGGAATAAATCTTTGTAATTTTGTGGCTGGTGTTACAAAGCACCCAAAAATGTCTTTTACCATCACTTTTAAGAGAATGTATTCGTTAAACTTCATCTAGGAAAAATGATGAAAAACCACACCAATTATAAATTATTGGTTTTAAAAATATTTTTGTTTCAGAATATAGCATAAAACACAGTAATTTATTATTTGTAATCCTTCCCTCCTCTCCTCCTAACTGTCCCCTTACCCACCATTATCCCCAAGCAACCACTGACCTGTTTTTTGTCACTGTAGACTAATTTCTACAATTTTGTATAAAATTCATACATCATGAACTTTTTTTAGTTTGGCTTCTTTCATTCAGCATAACTATTTTGAGGTTGTTTTTAATTATGTTACTGGTGTATCAACAATTCAATTCTAGTTATTGCTGAATAGTATTCTATTGCATGGATATACTACAATTGGTTTAACCATTTCTCTGTTTTTGGACATTTGAGTTATTTCCAGTTGTTAGCTACTACAAACAAAGCTGCTAGGAATGTTCTTGCACAACTTTGTATGGATGTGTATTTTCTTTTTGTTTGAATTAATTAATACCTTGAAGTAGAATGGCTAGATCATATGGTAGGTCTATGTTTAAATTCTTTTTTTTTGGCGGGGGCGAATTCAACTTCTAATAGTTTATTTTTTGAAACTTAATTTTTTTTTTAAATTATTTATTGTGATTTGGATGAAGATTTACAGAGCAAATTCACTTTCCATAGAGCAGAGTTCACATATACTTTGTCTCATGTCTTTGACCACAGTTTACCACAATGCAACAGCTCCCCTTCTCCCACTTCCTCCCCATAGTTACCCCTTCCCAGTGTCCATCCCTCCATGGACTCCTGCCCCCTGAGCTGTCTCCCTGTGCATAAGCAG